AGAAAGAAAGAAAGAAAGAAAGAAAGAAAGAAAGAAAGAAAGAAAGAGACAGAGAAAGAAAGAGACAGAGAAAGAAAAAGGAAGACAGAGAGAGAGAAAGAAAGAAAGGAGGGAGACAGAAACAAGAAAGAAAGGGGAGACAAAGAAAGAGGGAGACAGAGAAAAAAAATAAGAGATAGATAGATAGAGGGAGACAAAGAAAGAAAGATGGAGACAGGAAATGAAAGAAAAAGAAAGAAAGGGAGACAGAGAGAGAAAAAAAGAAAGAAAAACGAATTCAAGTTGCACTGACAACAAAAGTCGGTTTCCCCCACTGCTCTAAATCACTATTTGTGGTTTGTGACAATGCAAAGCTGAACAAAGATGTGAATGTGGTGCCTGCTGCTAGTAAACCAGAATTTAACCCATCAACGCGCCTATAAGGTTTAGGCCCTTGCAACACCCTAAGAGATCAAGCGTGGTTCTTGGTTAGCGTGGTCCTATTTGATTTGACCTTGCAACGCACCGTTGGAAGCATTGCACCATCAAAAAATAACAGAGAAAGGCGATGCCCAAAAGCCACAAGGCAATGCTCGACCTGCAGCCACTGCGGAAAAAAAGAAGACAGATTTTTGTCCCTTCTCAGAGGAATCCGGATGCAAAGGAAGGAAATGGAGGGAGGGACGAAGCGAAAAGATAACCCACAAGCAGAGGTGAGGAGGCACATGATGAGAAGATCAGCAATTTGGCTTCTCGCTTGCTCCATCACGCAGTGGCGAGACGCACATCTTGGGAGCGTTTCTCTCGCATGGAAAGTTGGGGAGGAAGGACAAGGTGCATCTCGTGACTCTCGGGTTTATTGGTCCTCTCTTGCAAGCAAAACTGAAACTCAACCTGCCCCTTAAATGAAAGTGCTCAAACGGAGGTGCCCTCCCGTTCCTGGAATCATGAACATGTCCTTCTGAAGGCCCCAAAGACGTCACTTCCTGTTTCAAAATCTGGGTCACCTCCTCAAAGATTGAGAAAGACCGACTCCTTCCTTGAAATCCAAAGAGCTGAAAAGCCAAGGGGGACCTTTCCTCCAGTGAGGACCTGTTGTGATGTCCTGGGGCGTGGCACAAAAGCAACAAAGTCACAAAAGTAGGTAAAGTCCCTTTAATTCCTCCAACTTGGCCCCCAATGTCCAGTTATCTGGAGAAAAAAAACTCTCCCAAGAACAGTTTTTAAAGGGAAGAAATTCAGTCCAAACCCAAAGTACATCTAAATTATAAATAAAAATCCAACACAATCTACGCTGCAGCAATTAATGAGACAGGGCAGGATAAGGAATTGCAGACTTCAAAAGATAAAGAGACACACACAGTTTGGAGGATGCCAGAACCCAGATAGGACTTGACAAACAAAGATAATGCACGCTTTGCTTCCAGCAAGGTGCTGTGCACAAACACCTTTTATATCCTGTTTTCCCAGCTGCAGCTAATGAAGGGAATCAGGGCCTTTTCCTCCCCCATAACCCACGTTGCTCCCTTATTCATTCCTCCCTGCGTGCCCTAGGGTGGGCCCGGGTCTTTTTCTGAATGCCCAGCCAGACTGTACCCTTCCCCAGTTTCCTCCACAGCCACTGGAGCCACACTTCCACTCCCTGTCAGCTATTCAACCTCCCCCTCGGAATCAGACTCCGACAGGGGCATGACACCTTTCCAGTTGATCTACTCCAGTGGTGTATTCTACCGGTTCGACCCAGTTCAGTGGAACCGGTAGTAAAAAAAGCCTCCGACAACCAGCTGAGTTGGGAGAAAGAAGAGAAAAGTGCAGGATTGGCCCTCCCACCTACCCTTGCGCTTTTCTCCTTTATCCTCTCAGCTGGTGTGGGGAAAGCTGCAGGCGCGTTAGGGGTGCGTGCATGATCACTGAACTGGTAGTGGAACAGGTGGGATCTCACTGCTGATCTACTCCCACTTTCCCAACTGGTTGGTCAACGTTGCATGATGTGTACGCTGACTAAGAGAAAGGTTGTCTTCAACATCACGGAGAAGCAATTCTTTTTCAAGGATAGGCCAGGGGAGGATGGGGCCGTGCTTGGATCCCAAGAAGTTTAGGAGTGGATGGATGAAGGTTGTAGACCTTCATCAAGAACCGAATACTTTTTCTACACGATCCTGGAAAGGTGGACCTTTGTGTTAAGACTGGTGGTGACAGAGTATCCATGCCTACATCAAACATCTTTTTTTCGAAAATATAAAGTTTTATTATACGTTTTCTTCGTTTTGTATTACAGCTTCAATTTTACAGCCGCGATATACTGGTTGTATCAATGTTATACATTATGCATCCTATTATACCTTCTATGTTCAACCATTTAGCTTTTCTTTATACAATACCATATTTATATACAATACAGGAGCCTCTGTGGCACAGTGGTTCGAGTGCAGTACTGCAAGCTACTTCTGCTGCAGCCAGCTGCCTACAATTTGGTAGTTCAAATCCCACCAGGCTCAAGGTTGACCCATCCTTCCAAGGTGGGTAAAATGAGGACCCAAATTGTTGGGGGCAAGAGGATGACTCTGTAAACCGCTTAGAGTGGGCTGTAAAGCACTATAAAGCGGTATACAATAGCTATTGCTATTGCTATATTTATCTTGTTTATTCCTATAGTTCTAACCGGAGTTTCTATTTCTATATTTTTAACTACTATCATATTGCTTCTAGTACTTTGATCATCTTTCATTGTAGTTTTCTAATCTTTGCATCTCTTATCTAACCAATTGTACCATATGTCCCAAATGGAATAATATTCTGATTCTCCTTTATCTTTAATTTCCATCGTCAACCTGTCCATTTCAGCACAATCACGTATTTTCCTTATTACCATTTCCCCTGTGAGTGTATTTATGTTTTTCCAATTTTGTGCGTAGCTGCTCTTACTACATGAAGCATCAAGTACTGAGTTTTCTTATTATATTTCCCTGTTAGTATGCCCAATAGAAATAGCTCTGGCTTTAAGTCTATCTGTTGTTTTATCATTTCCTCCAACCATTTTTTTTAAATATTTGCCCAATATTCATCCAACCTGTGGGTGTCTCTCTAACTCACCCATGTAGTTTCTCCAAACCATGTTACTGACATCTAACTGTTAAAGATGTACCTCTTTTAAGGAGGTTCTCACAACCACAGAAGATACACCCTTGTCCCCATCCTGAAGCACTGTTTCTTGATGTTGGATCCTGCCCCTTGTTCAGACCCCAGCCGTTTGATGGCTTATGGGTATTTTGGGATATTCCTCTTGACTGCCAACTCTACAACGTTGACATCACCATTCTGGAATGTCGTTTCTCTCCAAGCTACACAACAAAGATGGCTTAAAAGAAGACCAACCAGCTGTTTTTCATATATATTGTTTTGGTTTTAGTCTCATAGAGGTCACTCTCTTAGCCAACTGTTAATTCCAGAAGAATCATGTCAGAGAGAGAGAGAAACATTTCAGAACATCCCTTTTTAATGGCCAGCCCTCGTCATGCCAAGATGCATTTTGAAATCCGTTGTTTTATTCCACCCCGACGGTAAGATCTGCAAAGGCGTGGTGTGTCCATGTAAGGAAAAAGAAATGCTTTTAAAAGCTCATGGTTGAACACCCCAAAATTTAAAATATTGTGCTGTCTAGGCAGGATTTCGCCCCTGTGTAGGAGCAATCAATCGTCTAAGGAAATGTGATACCAGATGCTAAAGATCAGAAGAAGTTTTAAACCACTGCAGACCGTCCTTCAAAGCAACTTTAACCTTAGACTGTCTACTATTGACCTCACCCCTTTCCTAAGAGGTCTGTAGGGGGCGTGCATAAGCGCACCAACGTGCCTACCGTCCCTGTCCTATTGTTTCTCTTATTCTTTTATTTTTCTTATATGTACCCATTTCATGTATTCACAACTATGTATACATTTATACTTATTATCTTGTAAACAATTGGCAAATCAAATAAATAAAATAAATAAATAAATGTGTCTGAATGGTCAAACAATTGGCAACTCCAAAGCTCGACCATTGCTCTGTCCTACACATTGGTAAAAACAAACAAACCAGTACACCAAATACAAGCTAGGCAGATATGGCATCGTTGATGATCCTCACTCTGTCAAGGACCTCGGAGTATTCATATCAAACGACCTAAGCGCCAGAGCTCACTGCAACAGCACTGCCAAAAAGGCATTAAAGAGTTGTAAAATCTAATCTTACGA